AAGAAATGAGTAAATTCGTAAATGATACCCTGGGAAACCAAGAAAAAACAATCCAACAGGTAATGGAATCAATTCAAGAATTGAAAACTGAAATGGAGGCAGTGAAGAAAACACAAACCAAGCCCCCAGCTAATCCCTCTCTCCTGCTACGCCATCCCAGCTTTCGGCCTGGAACCCCTCCCGTCCTCCTCTCTCCCTTTTTCGGGGCTTAATTTCCTCCATCTCAGCCAGGGTGGGCACCGCGGCCCAGGGCAGGCGGTGAGTGCAAAGGGACCGGAGTCCCTTTGTTCTAATAGCCTGCCTGCAGTGAGCTAAGACTGCAGGCAAAGTGATTCCTGGATAGCAAGGGACACTAATCCAGTAGAAGAAGACCCAGCGGAGGGAAGAGCCATTGGAGGGCATCTGAAGGAAGAGATGGGCAGGCGCCAAGGCAAAAATTCCTCCAACAATCTGAAAAACAACATGAAAACACCAGATCCCAGCGATCTTATGACAGAAGGACTTGAACGCCCTATTCCGGAAGAAGTTGAAAACAGTGTCATTATGAAAGCAATAGAGTCTCTTAAACAGGGTATGAATAACTCACTTAAAGAAATAGAAGACAAATATAACAAAAAGATGGAAGAAATGAGTAAAGAAATGGAAGACAAATATAACAAAAAGTTTGAAGAAATGAGTAAATTCGTAAATGATACCCTGGGAAACCAAGAAAAAGCAATCAAACAGGTAATGGAATCAGTTCAAGAATTGAAAACTTAAATGGAGGCAGTGAGGAAAACACAATCCGAGGGCCGGCTGGATATGGAAAACCTAGGTAAACGAACGGAGACTACAGAATCAAGCTTAACCAATAGAATACAAGAGATAGAAGAACGAATCTCAGATTATGAAGACACCATAGAGAAAATAAACGCCCTGACCAAAGAAAACAGCAAATCCAACAAATTCTCATCACAAAACATTCAGGAAATATGGGACATAATAAAAAAAACCAAATCTAAGAATAATAGGAGTAGAAGAAGGAGAAGAATTGCAGATCAAAGGTCCAGAAGATATATTCAACAAAATTATAGAAGAAAACTTTCCCATCCTAAAGAGGGATATTCCTATGAAGGTGCAAGAAGCATACAGAACATCGAATAGACTGGATCAGAAAAAAAATCCCCTTGCCATATAATAATCAAAATACAAAGCAGTCAGATTAAAGAAAGGATATTAAGAGCTGCAAAGGAAAAAGGTCAAGTAACGTATAAAGGTAAACCTATCAGACTTACACCAGACTTCTCTATGAGACCTTTGTCTGATGAGGGGTTGGTGAAGATCTTCTCCCAGTCAGAAGGCAGCCTTTTTGTCTTACTGACAGTGTCCTTTGCTTTACAGAAGTTTCTCAGTTCCAGGAGGTCCCATTTATTCATTGATTCTCTTATTGTCTGTGCTACTGGGGTTCTACCTAGGAATTGGTCTCCTGTGCCCACTTCCCACTTTCTCTTCTATCAGTTTCAAAGTGGTCGGATTAATGTTGATGTCTTTAAACTATTTGGACTTGAGTTTTGCGCATGGTGATAGATATGGATCTACTTTCATTCTTCTAATGGTTGACATCCAGTTATGCCAGCACCATTTGTTAAAGATGCTTTCCTTCTTCCATTGTATACCTTTAGCTTCCTTGTCGAAAATCAGGCGTTCATAGGTTTGTGGGTTAATATCCGGGTCTTCTATTCGATTCCATAGGTCGACTTCTTTGTTCTTATGCCAATACCAAGCTGTTTTCAATACTGTAGCTCTGTAATAGAGTTTGAAGCCAGGGATGGTAATGCCTCCAGAAGTTCCTTTATTGTATAAGATTGTTTTGGCTATCCTGGGCTTTTTGTTTTGCCATATAAACTTGATTATTGTTCTCTCAATGTCTGTGAAGAATTTTGATGGGATTTTGATGGGGATTGCATTGAATCTATAAATTGCTTTTGGTAGAATTGCCATTTTTACCATGTTGGTCCTCCCCATCCAAGAGCAGGGGAGGTCTTTCCATTTTCTGGTATCCTCCTCAATTTTTTTCTTCAAAGACTTAAAGTTCTTGTCAAATAGGTCTTTCACTTCCTTGGTTAGAGTAACCCCAAGATATTTTATGCTATTTGTGGCTATCGTGAAAGGTGATTTTTCTCTGATTTCCCTCTCTGCTTCTTTATCCTTTGTGTATAGGAGGGCAACTGATTTTTTGGAGTTGATCTTGTATCCTGTCACATTACTAAAGGTGTTTATCAGCTGTAGGAGTTCTTTTGTAGAGTTTTTGGGGTCGCTTATGTACACTATCATATCGTCTGCAGATAACGAAAGTTTAACTTCATCCTATCCTATTCAAATACACTTGTTCCCCTTATGTTGTCTTATTGCTATTGCTAGAACTTCAAGCACTGTATTGAAGAGGTATGGAGAGAGTGGACAGCCTTGTCGTGTTCCTGATTTTAGTTGAATGGCTTTGAGTTTCTCTCCATTCAATTTGATGGTAGCTGTCGGCTTGCTATATATTGGTTTTATTATATTTAAGCATGATCCTTGTATCCCCAATCTCTTCAGCAACTTTATCATAAATGGGTGTTGAATTTTGTCAAATGCTTCTTCTGCGTCCAATGAAATCATCATATGCTTCTTTTTCTTTCAGTTTATTTATATGATGGATTACATTGATAGATTTGCGTATGTTGTACCAAACCTGCATCTCTGGGATGAAGCCCACTTGATCATAATGTATAATTTTTCTAATGTGTTCTTGGATTCGGTTTGCAAGTATTTTGTTGATAATTTTTGCATCGATGTTCATGAGTGAGATTGGCCTGTAATTCTCTTTCTTGGTTGTGTCTTTGTGTGGTTTTGGTATCAAAGTAACTGTAGCTTCATAAAAAGCGTTTGACAATGACTCTTCTCTTTCTATATTGTGAAATACATTAAGGAGTGTAGGTATTAGCTCTTCCTGGAAGTTCTGGTAGAATTCTGCATTGAAACCATCTGGTCCTGGGCTGTTTTTGGTAGGGAGATTTTTGAT